AATGTAAACTATTCAGACTCGTAATGGACATGGGAAATACATCTACTTAATAGATAATAGTAAACAACAAGCTCCATCAACAGGATCCCGGAGCAATCCCCATCAATTTATTTTTATACAGCAATACTTCATAATAAACTAGTGACTTGTTAAATGATCTGTAAGTAGGCCAACCGGTGGGGACGCGAATGATATACAACCCTATACAATTTCACTCGCATTCAACTGACTATTCCTGTATAACTTTGAAGGCTTCTTATTAGTACACATTATACGATGAAATTGTATTTGTACGAAACAAACAATTCTCGTTAACAATTAGACTTTTCAATGAGTTTAATATAAATCTCGCTTATTTACTATTTCATGTAATGTTATATAAATATTTACCTCTCGTTACCTAGACCACGCTAAATCAAACCGGCGAATGGCAACAAAGAGCATAGTACCCCACCTTTCACCCGTCCCAATAGTTCACATGAATCACGGAGGGAGGTCAAAGGTCGATTTTATTATAACCGACTACAATAAATAGTCCCTTTCTGTTTTTAGACACGAAACGACCCGACTTTTTGACAAACAATCTGTTTTAATAATTTTAGCTCAGTAAATACCTACAGCAAAAAAATTATAACCAAAGTTTTACATTCTTTAGAAATTTCGGTTCACAAGTCTTAAAAACAAGAGAATATATAAAAAAAATGTAAAGACAATCTTTTGATGTTCAAGAAAACTAAGTAATACTGCCATTATTTTATGAAATAATAAAAATATCAAAAGAATATTTTCACGGAATTTCTGGTATTAGAAAAACAATGATGTTTAGATACACGGTGCAGGTGTACATCGAGTATAGGACAAACATCCGAATGTTATGGGACGTGTTGTTTTGGACATTATCCAACATTTCGGATATAAATCACAAGCCATTCGAAAAACATTATGTATCTGGTGATAATGTTTTACTAGCACATAAATTAATTTTTATTTGCTCCTAACAAATGAATAGTTTGTATTTGTGTACTAGATAAATATTATAATAGAAATGCAATGAATGCAATACGTTTTTTTCATTAAATCGGGGGGGACATTGTCAAAATTTGATTGTTGATAAGTCCGGGTCGTTGAACTTGCGCGCACGACTGCCAACTGCGATTCACTAAAATCGACACGATGATTGACGGAAATATTCGATTCTATTATCGGTTATTTTTTCTTTCTAAGCGACAAGAACTACCTGAAAGTTTTCAAGGATTTGTTTTATAATGCGTAAGAAATACTACGAAGTTATTTTTGTAATACATATTATTATTTATATTACCTGTGGCACAGGTTTTATAAGTCTTTATGATGTATAATAAATGAGATATCCTGAACTATTAACTATAAAACTATTTTATGACAATTAATTGTTTTTTTAGTAATATGTTATAAAAATACCGATAAGTTTGACACCTTAGTTACGGCTGTATTGATGTTCTGTTGCGATCGGTGGCCCAACAAGGAAACAACAGCCTACTTAGATAAAACGCTATGCTGTAAACAAAACTTAACGTGCATACGGTATTTCTATGTACCTACAACATTTTTAAACACGCAACTCTTTGTAACATTAAACAGAAGGTCTAATAAATCGCATACTAATACAAAAATAATATGTCCATACAAACGTAATATCAAATATGTTAAGTACTTTAGCGTACTTATCTTCGATACTAATCGCATGTTATTATTCAATTTCCACGGTCAATAGTAGACACGAGGTTAAAACTGACATACAGAATAAACACAATTTGTACTATAGATTTATAAAATACCAATAAAAGAGATATAACGAAGTTGTATTACATTGACTACTAAACAGGGTCAACCAGTATGAATAAACTTGTTACGGTACAATTTGACCTCCGAAAAACTTAATAGGGTCTCAAGTAATATCGGGCGCTGGGTAGCTCGCCACGCACGCACGCTCTCTTCGAACGCGGAATAACAAACGTGCCGTGGGAATACGCTATATTACAATTATAATGCCACTAACTTTCGCCCGCGGCTCCGCCCGAGTGGTGTCGCTTTTCAATTAGCAATTAGTTACAAATGTTCTTTTGCAAGCTGCTATATCTACAAGACAAATTTAATTTGCGAAACAGTGTGAGACAGACGGGCAGCCATAACTATTTCATTTTCAATATAATAAATTATTTTACTGCCAAATTTCAAAAATTAAATAAAGGAAGTTATTAACATGACAAAAGTCAGCATTAAAATCTTAGAAAAATGTAATTATATTGACCAATTAATATAAAATAATACTAGCTTTGGTCTGTGTCTCCATCCATGTATACAAGAATTTTGTGAAAACTATCCATTGTTGCTCATAGATATTGAATTTATCATAATTCAAAATTTATTTCATATCTGTTCAATTGTTCGGATATGTAAACTGTAAAGTGAATGGATGTATTTTGTTATTTATATATGTATATAGTTATTTTATTATACTTAATTAATGTTAAGGCGATAAACTATTACCAAAAATATAACTTTAGCAGTAATAGTATAAAAACATAAATAAAATAAAATATTGCAAATTTTTCTATTCAATATTTTAGAATTCAGTGGATTCTAAATTGATATATAATACACAATATATTTTTAAGATATTGATATTAATATTTGTAACTAAATCTTATAAACCTTCCATATGGTATCATGCTTTGTTACTATACAAATTGCCACTCGGAGTATATCTAATCACTTCACTAACATAATGTATAAGTAAAAAGTACTTTACTTCATTTATATATACTGTTTTATAATAAATAATACTACATTGTTTGTTAATATTTCATACATATTCAAAGCACAAGATTTTTCCTTATACAATAATACTTAATTGCTCTTATTATTCTAGATCAAATTAATGCAGAGTTCATATTGAATTTAAGTTGTTTTGTAAAAAGAAAGAATAAGAAAGAAATTATTTTACAATTATATAATAACACTAAAAAATTCTTACATAGTCATATTGATAATTATCAGAAATAATCACATGCAGTATTCAATAGGATTTATATTTGATAACACTGTAAAAGTTGAGTATACTTATAACTGATATGTAGACAGGCCACTTGCTTAATCTCAATATAACATAAATTGAAATATATAATATATATTCAATGTTTTTTATTATAATCGTTGAAGTTGTAAAACATAAGTTATATTTCTTTACAAAAAATAAACTTATTTGGGTAGATACAAAATAAATTAATTAAAACTTACCTCACTGAAGGCCATAACTCTGGCCGAATCTACCTCCGTGAGATCTTCTCAATTAATTTTATCACGATCTATCAAAACAAATAGTTTACGCTTTTGTTTCCCAACATTGGATACAGTCCCGACATCTAACATCCCCACGAAACAAATACATCTGAACTGAGTAACTTCACTCACTGCGCAAGAACAAAATTTTATTTCTATAACGAAAACACCTGACCGTATCACAAATCACTGAAAAAAAAAAACCAACATTCCTCAGGTGGGATAGATGCACATCAGATTTATTACATATTTATATTTTTTATAGTTAATGACACTATATCACTATATTAAGTTTTTTTTTAAATATAAATACTAGCTCATTACGAAATAGAAAACGGAACAAAAATGTCATCAACTGCGTGTTGAAGTAACACGGAACGGACAATCAACCGGAGATGAACTCGCCATCTTGCTTTCTTGTCAAATCCAGTGTGGACAACATTGAAAATGACACGCTGTCAACTCCGACATGTTAGACAACATGGCCGTATAAACTGAAGTTAGCTGTTGTATAAGGCGGATTCTTCACATTCAATTTTGTATGATTTGATTAGATAATATAGAAATAATAATTTTTAAAATTATTCTTTGAATTGTATGTACAACGATATTTATTAAAAATTTAAATACATTGTTACGTTCCGTTTTAACGTAAGTACATTCTAGTATTTAATGAATTTTAGCAACAACTAAAATATATTGTTTTTTATCTGAGGCTCCCATTTTTTATGCATTTCCTTTATTCAAATTTCTGTATCCATTCAATATTTTTTCATCTTTTATATCCTTTACACTTACTTATTTCTATTATATTCTTTTTTATACTTATTTCTTTATAACATAGTATAATTAATTAAAAAAATTATAAAATGTTAAAAATCCCAAGAAAAAAAAAATTAAAATAAAATCGACGTGTTTTAGTCCATGTAATCAAAATATTGTTTTCCAATTACTGATACATACTTTACTAGTATGAAATATATACCCCCCTAATCATGAGAAAAGGTTTTTAGTATAATATCAACTTCATACACTAAATATGAACTAAAAACGCACTAAAACGTATTTATACATTATAATTTTTGGTTATATTATTTTATAGAACTGAAATACAAGACTTATTACTGAAATTATATTTCTTTATTTTTATAATTAAATTTATTTTTAGGAATGCTAAAATCGATCAAAGGATGCAACTATAAACCTCCTTGATCATATTTGTTTGTTTACTTTTACATCAAAAGTATCATATTGTTTAATGTCTTTTAGTTTATTTGTCCAAAATTGAAATAGTTGTAATTTTGTAATGTAAATCATTGTGTAACATTTAACCTACATTCCAAATTATCATACTGATTAAAATTATAAGCAAGTAAGTATTTAGCTTTAATTTCCGCGTTCATAATATGGGCCTTTTGAAGGACGACTCAGCTGGTAGCGTCATTGACACAGTGCCAGGCGGTGATATGCTCGGATGTGTAGAAGATATTTAGGGATTCTTAAAGTAGGTTAAATTAAACTAGGTTATTGCGCTGCCTTCTGTAATCCGATGTAGTTAGTAACCAGTTCACCATTAAGCTGCGAAAAGAATACACGTCTGGTTTTAACATTAACCGAAAGATGGTGAATGAATGTAAAGAATTTCTTCATAATTTTCCGATTGTTCTTATTTCTAGCCCATGGCTGTAACAATGGATTTGGAGGAAAGAGCGTCTGATTCTAAGCTTCATAAAGAAAGCTTGGTGAAAAAAGAGTTGAGACCATCTAGCGCTGTTTCTTTTTCCAAATCTGAACATGGGACAGGTTTGTCAATGGTCTTATATACATTATAAAATTATTCCCCCTACCCCTTAAAATTTCATGCTTAATTTCATATCCTGCATTTTTTTAGTGGAATCTTCATCAATAGACCAATTGAAACAATACAAAAGTTGGGTAAGCAATGAGAGATGGAATGAACTCAAAAAGATAGCAGACACTGCAATGAAAGAGCGAAAAGTATTTATGATAAAGGGGGGAGGATTCCCTGCCGTGAGACGTGCCCTGTTGGAAAGAGGCTGGGTAGAAAAATATGAATCACATAAGGTATAAGCAAATATTCCTATTCTCTGAAGACATTTGATTCCCAAATATTTTTGACCTCACAGTAGCTTTAATTTAATTTAATTTAAAGAATAGAAAACTCATTTAAATATTTAGTGTTCTAAAAATAGTAGAACATAATTATTGAGCTACAGTATTCAAAGACACAAGAGTGCCAGATATATTTTATAAGACTAACTAGTCATTTTCCCGCGTATAGGTACGTCACCCGCCTTCAAACGTAGATCCGAAAAGAGTAACGGGAAAAGAATTGACTAAAGTTGAAAGAATGATCCTTTACAAATTTATGGAACATCATTCTGTTGATTTTTTATGGACAACTAAAAGAGATAAATATGACTGGCTTCTTAGTAATAAAGAAGTTATTATAAGCAGGTAATAAAAAACTATTGAAAGACTATACTAATGAATGAATTATCTTTTTCAACCATTACCGGTTTCGTTTAGATTTTGCAGATCGGTTTTCACTACAAAAGAAGGCCTTACGAATTCTTTGACTCAAATGCATTGGTACACTGAACCTGGAGTAGCCTTAACGAAATTCCCGAGGTGTTATAATATCCATAATTCTGATAGTCTGGAAGAGTTCATTGATGATTTTAGAATAACCGCTTGTATAAGTATTCTGAAATGGCTATCCAGTACTTTACAACAAAGCGATGACCAAGAACTCGTAACGAATAATGGAAAAGTTCCATTTTCCGCCATTGAATTTGCAATAAATAGATTAAATGAGTACATATTATTTTATACTCATAAAGACATTGATGATACTGAAGATCAGATTCAGCACGTTTGGGAACATGAGTGGGACCAATTTCTTACGCATCATTATCTCCTAGTACATGAAAATGCCAAATTTATTGAAGACACAAATTCAAACCTCAAGTATGAAATTATTTGAATTCATATATTTATGTATACTTATTTAGAAATTAACAAACAATAAATCGTGATGCTATAATTAGATCACTTTTGTCGATTACGTAGTTCATATGGAATTAGTTATCACAATTTGTATTGTCCGAGATTTAAATGTAAACACGTCGATATTGTGCTTTACTAAAAATATTTGTTTCAGACAATTAGAACGTAAGGCGTCAAAAATATTGTCAACGATGTCTAAATTCTGGCCACAAATAGACATAGATGGCGTTTTTAACATTTGGATAGTGAAGCCAGGAAATAAATGTCGCGGCAGAGGGATCCAGCTCATGAATAACATAAAAGACATCATAGGTCTTATCAATATTCCAGCCCAAAAAACGAGATACGTTGTACAAAAATATATTGGTAAATCAATCCACTCATTTTCTTAACTTTTTTCTTCGTTTATTACTCAACAATGTGGTAATTTATCGATTGCCTAATTACTTCATTAACAATAATTATTTTCCAGAAAATCCTCTTGTTATTTACGACACAAAATTCGATATACGACAATGGTTTCTAATTACTAATTGCCAACCATTAACGATATGGATATACAAGTAAGTGAAAGCAGTGAAATGTAATTATGGAATTTAACCTTTTAAAAAGGTTAAATTCCATTTAACCATTTTTAAAAACTACTTTTTTTACAGAGATAGCTATTTACGGTTCAGCTCACAAATATTTAGTTTGTCGAACTATCATGAATCAGTACATTTGACGAACAACGCTGTACAAACAAAATATAAAAACAATGGGGACCGGGACAAAGCGTTGCCGGACGAGAATATGTGGGATTGCCACACATTCAAAGCTTATCTTAGGTAAATATGGAACAAACAAATGTTAATGGTATAAAAAAATTGTTTAATTAATTTAATTTTATCTATAAAGACAGATAGGAAAGTATGATATGTGGGATTCGAAAATATATCCTGGAATCAAACAGAGCTTAGTAGGGGCTATGTTGGCGTGTCAGGAGTCTATGGACAAGAGGCAGAATAGCTTCGAGTTGTACGGTGCTGACTTCATGTTGACGGATGACTTTACTCCTTGGCTTATAGAAATTAATTCCAGCCCCGACCTAGCACCCACAACTTCCGTTACGGCTCGCCTTTGTCCACAATGCCTGGAGGACGTTGTCAAAGGTGTTTATTCATTTTGTATCATAAATGTTTGATATGAAACCTATATTTAGTTAGGATTCGGTATGAAAGAGATAAAAAAATTTCAAACTTACAAACTTTTCTTATTCACCGGATTATAATTAATCTTTGGGTTATGCTATATTGAAATAAGATAGAACAAAAAAGCCCCAAATTAGAACTAATTCAATTTCTTTAAAAAAAATTGTTTTAGTAGTAAAATTTTATTTTGTCTCTACAGTTGTGCTAGACAGGCGTCTAAACGTAGAAGCGGACACGGGAACGTTTGAGTTAGCCTATAAACAAGTCATACCGAAGGCTCCTGCGTACCTCGGATTATCGTTATGCATCAATGGCAAACGATTAATGCATGGTAAGAAATCCAAGGAGCGTCGGCACGAGCACCGCAGTGTGACGCCACCAAGTGCACCAGCTGGCGACGCACAACCGCACGAACAACCCGTGCCACCCGAATACAATGGACCAATAATCACTGACTTCCTAAGCTGGTTGAACCCTTACGACTCTCTGCCCACCGACAAGGACGGAATACTTCTAGCCACCAAGGACTCCCTCACGGTACGTCGTGCTGTAACCGTTGTAAAAACGACTCGGACGATACAAAATCGTAGCAAAAAGCGTAAACCGTCTGCGATCTCTTCTAGGACTTGTCGAGGAAGGCGCGAAAGAAACGTAGAATCTAAGTGTCGAATAGTTCCACACTCGTGTTGCCGGCCTGAAGACGGTCACATAAACAACCACGTCGGTAAATACAGAACGGAATCGGCGAGCAAGGCAGAAAAACCAAAGATTGATAGGTCAGTAGGTAATAAACGATGCTACATAGACCCCATTGAATGGGAACGTGAGACTGCTAGTATACTCAGGTCAACAATATCCGTACAAAATAAGATATCTGCCAGAGCGGAAGCCATAAGTAGCCTTAAACAAAGTAAATCAGATATCGTCGGTAATAAGTCCAGTAATAGAAATATGTTACAACATTTAAGGTCTCGTGTTGATAATTCTAGCACTATTAAAAAGATCAGTGCTATTGGTAGAAGTATTTGTAAACTTCGAGATGAAAATAAATCAAAAAAATCAATTTCCTTTTCGAAAAGCTGTACCTCTATTTATGCGCCTTATCGAGTGACAATTACCCCATTGAACGATGAATCCTAAGATAAAATGTATAAAGGCAGCTAAGCATTTCCTCGATAATTTTATTTATATATTATATAATATAAAAATATATTTACATTCTCTGTTAAAGACTATTTAGATTATTTTTTCAAATACTGTTAAATTGTTGACAACTTAAAAATTTTATTGCGGTGTAATAAATAGCTCTAATTATTTTAACGAATAAATTATTTTATTTCAGGATGCCACATACCAAAACCTCCTTTCCTTTCATTCCTAATGTACAACCTACTTAATAAAAAGTAACTGCCAACTATTTTTTTTTTATTACATTGCTTTTTTGATTAAAATGACATAAAGTCAAAGCCGACATTCTAATCATTATATTCAAAGAATCCTTTTAAAAAATGCAAAAAATATATATAATATAAATGATTGGAAAACATCTAACAGTGTCATGATTAAATAGAATTATACTACAGGTAAAGTGATAATATTTTTCAACAAGGTTTTTACTTAAGATTTTTTGAATAAAAAAATATATTTATCTAATATAAGATTTATCATATATTATATATAAGTATGTATTTAAGTAGATCTCTAAACATTATAATAAAAATTTAATTATCATTTTTTCACATAGATAAAAAATATATTTCTTTTGAAATATTCGAACAGATGTGTGAACTACTACGACAATGCCTATTCGAAAGAAAACACTAGCAAAGCGAAAAAAGGTATGTGAGTGTATAGATACTGATGCCTGGAAGAAAAAAATATGTTATTAATTTTAGTTTCAATTTGTAGAAAGTCACTGCTACTCATTCATTTCCACGTAAAAATTTAAAACCTATGGATGGATTTAGTAAAAGTTCAGGAGGAGCCCTTGATTTTAAGGTTAATGAAAATTTTATTTAAATAAAACTTTCTTCTTTTCCAGAAGTTCTGACATTAACAAACTCATTCTACAAACAAATAATTTGACCTATTTCTTACAGAGAAATAGCATTGAAAAATCTCGTGTAAGAAGAATTTTTTGTCCCTTTAACAAGTTTGCACACAATATATCTGGACAACCGAATAAAAACAAATTAAGCATGGCATATAAGAGTAATAATTTACATGTCGGTTTGACTAGGAAAGAAAAAACATTTGTAATTTGTAGTTGTCAAAACAAATCAAGTAAATATTTAAAACTTAAAAACCTCGCAGCCAGCGCTATAAAAGAAAACAAAATATTTGCTGTGTACGGCAACTGTAATGCTGTAAGAAAAGCCTTGATAGAGCGCGGTTGGGTCGAAAAGATTCCACCGAACCGAATGAATCTGTCAAAAATAAGAAATGGAACATGTTCTAGTAAAACGGATATTCAAAATGAACTGGAGAGATTGCTACTATCAAACCTAATTGAAAAATGCAATCCAAATTTTGTTTGGCGTACAAGAGATCAAAGGAGAGACACTACCATCGATATGAATAAAGATTGCCGCACTATTATCAATAAATTGGAAATAGATGCATTATGGACTTCAAAACAGGGGTTATGCTCTTCTCTTAAACGAAATTACTGGTTTTATATCGAAGACATTGCAGAAGTAAATGCTCCAAGATCATATAATACATCTGATTTCGGAGAACTAGAAAGTTTTGAAAAAGATTTTAAAATAACAGCTTGTACAAGTTTATTAAAATGGATTTTATCAATGGTTGCCAATGATAGGCCAATTTTTCAACCAACAGGCAAAATATCCTTGAACATTATCGTATTTGCTTTAAATAGATGCAAAGAATATTTATTTCAGAAACAAAACAAAGACATAGATACAGAAATTCCAGAAGTACGCGAAAGCCAATGGAGTTCATTCCTAAAAAAGTATTATTGTATAATATCAAAAGATGAAGTGTTTCAAGAAGACACGAGAAACAAAATTCCCTTGTATTTGAGTTATGCTAAATTTCTATTGAAAGAAGTATATAGATATCGTCCACAGCTTAGCTGCGAAGGTTGCCACAATATTTGGATCATTAAACCAGCTTACTGTTCTAGAGGAAGAGGTATCAGGATGGCCTCTAAGTTGGGGGTCATAACAAGCATATTGACTAAAGCCAATTCAAAATTCGTCATTCAAAAGTACATTGGTAAGTATTTCAACAATAAACTCTATTAATATAGATCAGTAGGTAATGAATAAAAATGATGCGATTTTTTTTTGTTTCGTCAGAGGAACCGCTCTTGATCTACGAAACCAAGTTCGATATAAGACAATACTACTTGGTAACCAGCACATATCCACTTGTAATATGGATGTATACTGATTGTTACTTGAAGTTCAGTTCACAGAGATATAATTTAAAAAACTATCATGAATCAATTCATTTGACGAATAATGCTGTGCAAAAGAAATACACCAACTGTATAGGAAGACATACTGAATTACCGAACCAAAATATGTGGGATTCAGATAAATATAAGCATTACCTAAATAAAATTGGAAAAGAAAACGTTTGGGATACTATTATCTACCCAGGAATGAAAAAATCTATTATTGGTATCATGCTTGGTTGTCAAGATACATTGTCAGTTAGTAAGAATCGTTTTGAATTATATGGATGTGACTTTCTTTTGGACAAAGAATACAGACCTTGGCTCATTGAAATCAACTCCTGTCCAGACTTAAATCATACAACTGCAGTCACAGCAAAAATGTGCCCTGCAGTTATATCTGATATCATAAAAGGTAGAAATATTTTTATTCTTTAATATTATTAAAAAATTTTATATAATATCTAAAATAACTTTAAAGTAACTTTGATTACGAAAAAATTTTCAGTCGTAATTGACTTCGCAAAGAACCCAAAAGCTGCAACAGGAAAGTTCGAATGTATTTATCGACAGCCAATGACGTTACCGCGTTATGGCAGTGCAGCAGAACTATTTGTTCGTGGTTATTCACTGTCCAATGAATATTTTTACAAAGGAAATATTGAAATTCAAGAATCTTACGCTGATCCAACCATCGGGAAGGAAAGTAATATAAAGGCAGTTCTACAAAAACTGAAACAATTACATGAAATGGATGATGACATAATGAAACAACCAGAGGACGACCTGGCTTTTCCTGAAACTAAAGATAGAGACACCTGTACACACAAGACTCTGTCTGAATACGAATTAAGTGTGACTGCTGCTGTTATTACAGAGCAGTTAAACGAACTTATGGATAGAGTTACATCCGACAGCAGCTTCAATACTAAAAAGTCTGAATGTGAAGAAACTTCTTGCCCAAAACAAAACATCTGTAGCGTAACTAATATATCAACTTTGTTAAGAAAATCAGTTTGCAACTTTATGCCTGGAGAAACAATGGAAAAAGCATTCAGATTTAGCAAGTTAGATGATGGACCACGAGGGAAGGGTAGTATCGTAGAACTAAACGATATCGAGAAAATATTTTACAATCTTACATTGAACAACAATGTGGCTAAATGTTCGCCGTCAACAAATATACAAAGAAATTATTCACAAGATGTCTTAAAGGCAACAACAAAACTTGTTTCTTTTATAAATAGAAAAGAAAAAGAATACCGTAAATATATATAATCACCAATATTCTGTTACTCTATATTTAAAATATACTATTTCCAGTATTTGGAATTAAATTTTTTATTAAGTTCTTTAACTTTTTATAACGGATGGAGAAATATGTTTATGTTCCGTGATCACAGTCACATACTACCACATCTAAATGTTCATAAATGAATATTGAATGACATTTGATATCCTCTGATACCAATTTTGTAAAGTTTTTTTTTTAATAAAAAAAACATCCATAGCATTGCCCTCTTTTCTCGGTTGTTTTTTAACAAAACACTAGGTCAAAAAAGCTAGGAATTTGAAGTACACTCTTTGCCTCTATATCTAGCTATTTTTGCTAAATCGAGGGCTCTCTTTTAAATCGTATCTTGTGAAACGACATTATCGTAAGAATAGCCCATAATATTGTTTTAGGTCACTTGTCGTTATGTTCTACTGCAAATAAGAGTAGCTAAGCTTTTCAAATAGACATTACCGGTGCTTATATTTTTTACAAGCTATTTCGCCTTGAAATGGTCATCTTTAAACGTTTTTTAATTCGTTAAGTTTTTGCTAACACCTGGAACAACACAAAAAACCATAAACAATAACTTAGTATACAGTAAACTGTTGAAAAAAACTAAAAATGTAAATCATTGGATTTAATGAATTTACACACAAACCAGGCCAAACCAAAAAGTATATAGTGTAAACAAATTAAAAAATACTTAACATTTATTGGTCACGGTATTAGTTGAGAAGAACATCATAGAGATACGTAGTTTTTTAATCAAGACAATGGGATACGATAAATTATTGAACTGTTATCCAAGCCACATTTACATAACAATTATTGCAAACTTTTGCCTACAGAACTACAGTACTGGCATGGCCAATCTTTAATCGACTATACTGTTGTAGTTGTTACAGAGCAGTTAAGTTGTACAGAAAAAACCAAAACTTATACCTAATGAATGTTTGGTTGGACAGATACATAACCTCGACCTCGATTAGTGAACTTTGATGAGAACTGTTGAGAATAACAATGTTTACTGAGCTGCATTAGCTAACCCTTCAAGAACCCTTCATTTAAATAACTTTAATAATAAGATTTTGCGCTAAGTTACTTGTTTGGCGCAGAAGTCCACAGGTGCATTACGCTTAATAACAAAGTGATCTGCTACCTAAGAGAAAACAATAGCATGGTCTATTACTTGATAGTAGTATAAGACAAGTTTAACAGCATTTTTCCTAGCAAAATATTACAAGCACCCTTTATTACTATAATAAATTACAAGAGAAAATTGAAGTGTTTTTACGGTTATACAATTTAAAATAATAGATTTGCGTCAAATTATAACTTAATAAATGGTAAAGGGATTTAATGATGGAAAATCAAGAATAAACGATACCCTACCCCGCGGACGGTTTATAATGCAACATGATAAATAAAAATAACTCTCTTGTATAAGTTCATTAATATTTATAATCGAAATCAAAATTTTTGATGACAGTATTTGGAAGAATAAAAATTAAAAATAATACGGTGTAATTAAACCTTAAATTAATAAAAAAATATGTTTTTTGAAAAGGAAATGTCAATATGGCAACACTAAAAGAATGCTTTTCATTGAAAGGTGGTGTATTTGTGGGATTTAGTAACTTTTAAGCTAATGTTAACAATCAATAATTGTTTATAATGGGTCGTTCAAGATCTAGAAGTAAAACACCAAGGCGACATCATAAAAGCAGTAAACACTCTCGAAAGAAGAGTCGTTCTAAAGATAGGTCCTCGTCGCGTAGCAGAAGTTCTAAGCATACCGAAAAAACTAGAGAAAGAAGTTCTAAGTCACGGTAAGTCATATAAAATTTATCATTTTCTTTACAGCTACGGTAACAAACTTAAAAACTTGGATACATAAAAAGTGACTGTTACAATAACAGTAACTCTAGCAGACAAACCTATTTGACTTAGCAATTTGTACAAGTTGTTAGGACAGATCACCGAACCGTCCTTGGCCTTTTATTTACGTTTTTAAAAATTAATAACATATTTTCTCACTTTAAGAGCATGTTTATAAAATTTCCAGTAAGCGATCACATTCAATTTCTTCCACTTCAAGCACCGAAGGCTCGTATGATGGTAACAGGGGAAGTAGGAAGAAATCCAAAGGACGTAGCAAAATGGATGAAGTGGACCGACTTGCTGAAATGGAAAGACAAAGACGTGTCAGAGAAGCAGAACAAAAGGTGACAAACTGTGCCACTATTGCGATTTTTAATATTATCAGCAAAAGTGATTTATTTCTGTACATTTGCAGTATTGTTTAACTTATATGATTACTGTTATTAAAGGTAGTTGAAGAAGAAGCAGCAAAGCGAATAGAATTGCTCGTAAAGAAAAGAGTCGAAGAAGAACTTGAGAAAAGAAAAGATGAAATAGAACAAGAAGTTGCAAAGAGAGTTGAAGAAGCAAAACGGAAAATGGAGAAGGAAATGATGGAGGAACTGCAACGACAAAGGGAGCAGCAACGACGGGACGAGTTAGCTAGACAGGTAATTATGATAACCTTTACCAGTCATGTGTAAAAGCAATGCACGCAGCAGTGCTCTTACATGTGACGATGCCGGGATCAGTCTGACTTGTTCCCACATTACACATGCTACATGTAAAATTCAATGTTTATTATACCAACAATGTATAAGAGACTAATTAAACTGTAATTCGATCATATCTGTTAAAGGTCCAGTCAGGTGTAGATCGAGTGCTTACGAGAATTATTATTTTTTAATTCTTTTTTATCACTCATTTGAGACAATTTTATGTATATGTCAACACATAAAATAAACAACATTTCATTTGCACCGATAAAGCAGACTCCTTTATATAAATTGTTGTATAACAAAAATACCATAAAGGTGGCCGGCTAGCATTTTAAAATTATTCACTTGACTGTCCTTGGCAGTCACGTAGTCTATAAGTCAGGTCAGAAGACTGATCAAGATCCAGAAGACCTAAGAGTTTTAAGGAGTTGCTGCTAGAGGACCCTGCCGTGACAGCCGAAGGTATTTTTTGAAACTATTTTTTGTATAACAAGTGGTAGGGAAGTTACACAGTAACATCACAATTATACAATGATGTTATGGGTGTATAGGATATATTGAGAAGAAGCAAAATTAATACACATTCAGATGGTTTTATGAATTTGTTGAATTTTTTTTAAATAGTAGGGAAAACGACGATTGTTAAACGTTGCTAGCAAATATCTGTATACATATATATTATCTGTGTCAGGCTGTGTATGTCGTGATTCTGAATATTTGTAATTTCCTTATAAGAATGTATATTATTCATGGGAATGAATTACATTTGTGTATTGTATGATTGTTTTATTATACAGGAGGCAGAAGCTCGTAAACGGAAAGAGCTGGAGGAAATCATGGCTGAAAATAATAAAAAAATAGAAGAGGCACAGCGGAAACTGGTGAGTTGCAAACTCAAATAATATTATTTAAAATTACTGTTGGTCTTTAATTGACTGAATCAACTTTTCATTTTCTGTATAAAGAAAATATCATTGTATTCAATCAGTTGATTGATAGTAAAAATAGGGGGGGGAGAAGATTAACCGGGATTAAAAATACATATTTTAAAGAAATATGTATGTGTACAATCAAGAACTTTTTGTATTAAAAGAAACATTCTTCTTTTATTTAGTAAGGCCTTATTCAAAGTTTCCTTTCATCAATAAGAATAGATGAAAGAAGATAAATATTTCTAAATTGTAAATAACTTTTGAATGTGATATATTATAATTATATTTTAGGCCGAAGAGAGACTTGCGATGATTGAAGAACAAAGAAAAATGGATGAAGAGAGACAAAAACTGAAAAAAGAACAAGAAAAAAGAATAAAAGAAGAACAAAAGAAGATACTGGGGAAAAATAATTCAAGACCGAAGTTATCATTTTCATTGAAACCACTTTGATAAGTTGAAATATCAAAATCAGTCAAAACAGCTGCAAAAAAAGTGTGAATATTCTCAAATTAAGGACAATTTTCTCTTGTAATAATATATGAATTCAGCATAAACATGTCTATTTTATAAAACCATCGAGTAGTTTTTTTTATGTGTGGGAAGTTTATGTAACTGAGTGTAATATGTTATATGGAATTCCAATTTTCCTATATTTACACTTTAAGAATGTAGTGTCAAATCCATCATAACTTCCTAAGAAACAATTTTATATTGATCATCTGTGGTTTAGATTCATGGGACATTTTATTGATTAAGTAATATTTCCATTCAACATATCTAATACTGCCACTGTTAACATTTTTTTAAGGCTCTTTCACTAATATAATATTGCAAAGCCACTTTACATTAAATAACTACCATTTCCATTGTCAATATGTATCCAAACTGATGTCTTAAATAATATTAAGTTGCCTTCAAAATATATTAATAATTATTAAACTCAATAGCTATAAAGTTTGTAAGTTAGATTTGATTAAAGATAATGCTAGTGTATAGTAACATTTTTATATCAACTGAATAAAATTAAATTATTGATTTTAACAAAATTTTATCATAAACAATAGAATGAAATTAACAGAGATATTATGTATTTATGTAAATCATTTTTGGCTTTTTTGGTTCACTTCAAAGGTCAGGTATGGATATTAAGTATATGAAAAAACTTAACTCATTCAGATTACTTCAAAAGTATAATATTGTCTGTAGGCTGCAACTCATTTCAATTTACTTACTTTAAAAGCACAAGTGTTTTTATTCAATCATTCATATTATTATTGATATAACAAATAAATGGGCATGTAAAAATGTGTTTTGTTAATACCAAGTTTAAAAAAAGTACAAGTGAATAAAATAATCATTAAAATATGTCTACAGTTACTACTTTAAGTAAAAAATGATCTATATTCCTTCACGAAATAAAATACAGTAAACTGATGACCTGTATTTAATAAAGGGTATCATATATATGTTTTTTTAATGCGATTGACTCAAAACATTACTTATATTCACATTAGGAATACGCTTTTTCCTAGTTTCATTTAATGAAGTAATGCGAATTCCCCAACCCCCAACTTTCCTTTGAACATTAAGAAATAATATTTTTCTTGATATACGCTACCTACAACATTTAATATTGCTTCTATAGACAACAATTTTTTCAATGCTTTGTGTCCAGTGGAATAAGTTCTTATTAAATTCGGAAACTCGTCTCATCTTCAATAGGGAAAATCTGTTAAATTGAGTTATAATATAACTGTTATATAAATATCCTATGTATAAGGACCAATGTGCAAATTGACAATTATTAAGTAGAGGTGTTTTAATTTTGATTTCCATGTATCTTTTACATGCGATAACTGACTTTGAAATTTTGCATAGCAACTATGACATAAATGTACGTCATTTAAGCTTGATAAACTTTTTTGTAAATCTACTAGCTTTTTAAATAATGTGTATAAGCTCTTAAATGTTAACAAGTGTGTTACCTATCCCATTTTACTGCAATAAAAACCAAGTCTTTCCACCGACAAAAGCGCATTTTTTAAATGGGTGTTATAGAATGAAATATATATTATGAAGTGTCTAAGCAAAAAGAAAATAGTTAAATTACTGCAACATTTTATTCGTGTATAAAATATATGACATTTATTTTATGATGTCTTTTTTCTAACTTAAGATTTTACTTCTTGAATGTATTAAATGACACGTCTACATGTCAAACTGACAACATTGTATTTGTCAAACAGTGTGTTGTACAAAGTTCGTCCTTTGCCTCTCAATTGTGAAGGAAGTAATATTTCCGATCAATATCATAGAAGACTCAAAAGTAGACGACGCTCGACTTAGTCGTTTATTGACCCCAACTGTAATTTCCATTTCCTTGACTTGTTCTGGTAATGTGATTTTATTTATTAAACAGCTAAGCCATCAAATATACTTTTCTTTATTTAAGCAAATATTTATTTGAATTTTTTTATGTTATAAATTTGTGTAAACTTTGACAAAATCATTCATTTTAGGTAATTTAAAATGCAGATATAGTTCGTTTACCCTAACGAAAATGGCAGACATATTAAAAGGAATTATTCTTACTGTTCTAACAGAAAAGTGTTACACTGAGTATTTTGTGAAATATAATTTTCTGGATGGTTAGTCTATAGATTGTTTTTTAAATTAAACTCATATTTAGTCAAATAATTTTTGTCCTTTATTTTCAGTACCATGTTTTAAGGCTACATTGAGCAAAGGACTTGGTATTGGTATTATTGCTGGTTCAGTATTGGTTAAGGTTCCTCAAATTTTAAAAATCTTAAAAAGCAAAAGTGCTGAAGGAATTAATATTTATGGAGTCTATTTGGAATTATTTGCCATTACAGCAAACTTTGCATACAGCTATGTTATGAATTTTCCATTTAGGTATTATTAGTTCTAAATGTGTATATTAATATATATCATTTATCTGGTAATATTTTAAGCATTTTATCTTATATTAAAATTATTTCAGTGCTTGGGGAGAGGGAACATTTCTGGCAATTCAAACAGCTGTGATAGCAGCCTTGGTACTTTATTATGGGGGATCATCTGGGAAAGCGATATCCTTTATATCGATATACATTGCTCTGGTTTCAGCTGTAGTAAGTGGGGTTGCACCTAAAGATTTATTATGGACCTTGCAAGCTATCAATGTGCCTATTATAGTTGCTGCTAAGGTAAAAATATTACATATGATATGATAGAAATATTTTAACATAATAATTGTTGTAATATTTTTATGTAATTTTATTTCAGTCCATACAAGTGATTACCAACTATAAAAATGGCAGCACTGGCCAGTTATCAGCTGTCACATGTTTCTTATTATTTGGTGGTAGTATCGCGAGGATATTCACATCTATTCAGGAAACTGGTGATTTCATAATTATTCTTAACTATTGTGTTTCAACACTTACTAATGGAATCATTGTCTTACAACTTTTCTGGTACTGGAATGTTGATAAGACTAATAAGAATAAAATTAAGAAAAAGAAATGATATCTGAACTATCATTTTAAGATTAAAATGCAATGAAATCTTTTTAGCAAAATATTTTTCTATTTTGTTTACGAAATAAATTGTTGTGTTACAATCATTTTTTTATTTTTCCAATCATTTTTCCTTTAACTATACATTTCAAAATCTAAAAAGTTGTTTGAGACTAATGCCAATTTAAATGGACATCTTTCCATATGGTTATAGATTGTTTCAGAAACATAACTAGGTAGTTAATAAATAAAAAATAAGAAGAAGAATTCCTATAACAGTACAATACATATTATTTACGTTTTGTAGAATTAAAATGAGAAAATATGCTTTGAAATCTTTTTTAAAATTATATAAAATGCATTAGCTCGATGTAAAATTTAACATATCCAGGAGAAGCTCCACATTAAATAATACATAAAAAATACGATGTTTTCTTGAATTCAGATGTTATAATTATTTCATTGTAAATATAAATATGAAACTAAAATGAAAACTCAGAATAAACCCAAATTAACTGGATTTGTTACAATTTATTTGTCAATCGAAAAGAAAATAGATTTTTCACAGCTTAACCAAATGTATATTTCAATGTTTACTTAATCATGTTTTAAATGTATTGCTTCACCAAATAATCCATATTTTTTACTTAAAAACAACGATTTATGTATGGAAAATTTATATAAGTACATTAAAATAAAATATGGAATTGGATTCCCCAATACTTGTGTGCTTAATTACATTTACATAAATACATTTAAAACAATAAAAAGTGTAGACCAAGACATAAATACTTTCATTTATAAATAATAGTTATATTTGTTAAAATATTTTAAATCTAATTTGTTGGCTTTTAGCGCTTAAGACTTACAAACAGGGAATGAAGTTTTAAAACCTATATACCTAGGTACTGTGTACATATATAGATACTAATTTGGTGTCGGTGTATGAGATCACCTCAATTAGTCGTCTATTAGCCTCATTTCATCCTTCGAGACTTCGTAGTTCATACAATACCTCCTAGTTCCTATAGACGTAATAAAAGAAATCCATGTTGCATTTTTATTTAATTACGTAGCCCTTGTATTTCATTTTGTAACGGATTGAAAAAGTTATTATTAATTACTAGATACAAATTGTCAGATATTACATTTTAAAGATTCACAAAAATCTTTTAATGAAACAACTCGAATTTAGTAACAATAATAACACTGGTGAACAAAATTTTGACTTTTTAATGCCACACAGACTTTTTTGTTATTTTTTACTTTAATAGGTAATTATAAAACCAAATAAACAGTTACAAAAAAGTTGCTGGCCAAGAATTTTTTTCTATTGAGTAATTAAAAAATTAAGAAAAAACAAGGATCTAGTAAATAAAAAGTTTTTTTTCTAAACGACTGAATGTAATCTAAGATTTTCTCGAGTATTTAGCTTCTGGTTGGTCTCTTTTAATTGTCCAGCAATAAGCTGCTAACTTTTTTAATATAGAATGGGCCCAAATGGGCCCCATTTGCCAGTAGAGCTTTTCTATATTAGAAATTTCGTGATGGAGTCTCTCACCATGCTCATCACTGACAGCCCTTGAATTGTCTGGAAAACATTCAGGTGAGAGTCTAAAAAAACTAATTTAAGAGAAATGTTGCAACCCAATCCTTGATATGACAATAGTAGCTCTTTACCCAACTCTCACTACTTAACCAATACTCTCGTTTTAGATGGGATCCTAGTAGTTCTGACTACTTTTTGATAAATTTGAATCCTAAACCAAATCATTTAGGTCTCTTTGAGTTATCTAATGTGGCTTCAGGCTTGTTTACAATTTCTACAAACTCAAAGTCATCATCCTCTTCAACGCATTGGCCTGAAGTTGACGGTTGTGAATGGTCGCTCTCAACAGATGAATTTATAACTGGTATTTGTTTTGTCATATTTTTACAATAAGAGACTGGTCGTATAGCCGAAGATAAGTTGGGGTAATTAACTGTGTTTTTCTTTTTGTAATTTATACCTTTTATATCAGTGAGACAATAATAACTATCTGAAACGTGATCACGCCGTTCAGTCCATATCATGGGTACAGCAAATGGCATAGGGCGTACACCTCTCTTCCAGTCAGTTAAATTTTTCACATACGTTATGCAGCAGACATGAGGAGCCCAGGATTTGTCTTGATGGGTGACAGAAAAACCAAAATATTGTTGACAACACTCTAACACAAGAATCGTCAAAATTCGTCATTGTCTTTTAAATGTTAATTCCCCGCAGACGTAACAAAAAGAGTTATAATCATTATTACGCTTCCTCGACATGTTCACAGGATTAATGATTCATAAAAAAATGTTTAAATTTAACGACAAATATTTTTATAATGATTGACTTGTAAGCGTTTCTGTTAATTAACAGCCGCAGTACTAGTTATGAGAATTACCGTATAACAACAAATATAAGGCTAATTGACTTATGAAAACGATGATTTAAGAATGAGGATAGATTGATAAAACAAATTTTGTTATCAAAGTTCATGTGGCAAAACCAATGTTGACCAGTGTAATTAGTAAATATTATAGAATTGAATTAGGTTTGGAATATATTGTAATTATGATTCTTTTTTGCTTAGCTGAAGGCTTCCTAATAGAATGAGACTTCTATATTATATGGTTGTTCCGTGCCAAGTAATTTTAAGAGATGAGAGTGAACGGTTTAGGCAATAAATACCTAAATCTAATATCCGAGAAATGTGATCAATTTGAAATACATGTAAGAAACACTTCTTCATTTTAATTGCGTACATCAAAATATAAATAATCAAATATTTAATGTATAATATTCCTGTATAAAGGGTTTCCTTATTATACTAACGAAGGTTTATATACATACAATTAAGTAAGTAATGGCAATAAATTATAGTCAGCTGATGTCAAATTTACTTCCCTAAAAATACTCCATTAACAATTTGAAAAATATTGTCCAAACCATTATTTCTTTTCAATCTTTTTTTGATAAAAAAGATATAAATCAAATAAGTACATAGTAGTTTTTGGACTTCTTATTATAATAAAGTAATAATTGTTCGTTTACTTTCTAGGATACTACAAATTTTAATACAAATGAAATTGTACATAGCATCACTTATAGTATAAAATGATACCGGTATCTTTTACCTTGAGGAGTAATTAATTTTTATTGATTGTTTTAATATTACATATTACTGTTCTGATTCATTCTTATAATTATATAAATAAAACAAATTATTCGATAAGTAAACATTTATTTTTCCACACAGAAAAGACACAGATTTGTATCTAAAACGTCAGTTAAATACAATTAAAACGTGGAATGGTTTATATTCTACCGATATCACCCTAAGGAAAACAAATCATATTTTAAAAAGACATCTACAATAAGTGATACATTCAAATGTAAATATTATAATTTTCCGCGTATGTACAAGTCGGATGTAATAGCAACGTCGCGGGTGACAATTTGACTATATAATAAAACTAGTGTTAGCCGGTGGTTCTGTCTGTCTTCTATTCTTTAGGCGGTTCCTCCGTCTTCTCCTCGGCGTGTGCTCGTTCCGGTTCGTTCCCGTCCGCCCACTTCCCGTCATACTCCTTCCTGTCCACGTAACGCTCCTCCTCGTACTCTCCTTCACTACGGTGGCTGTCGCGTTCAGAATAACGAGAGAAGCTGTAACGGCTGTTTCAGTGTGAAACTTATAAAAGCTACTTGGTGGAGCTACTCCCCACCAAGTGGACAACACCAAGCAATGCCAAGTGATTGAGCCTACTCTCTTCAATATTACACTAACCTGTCTCTGTCCTTGTCCCTCCTCTCCGGGCTGTATGACCTCGACCTGCGTGTTCTGTCAGGGCTGCGGGAGCGGGAGTATCTACCGCCGCGTCTGTCGCGGAAGTCACGGAAGCCACCCCTGGACAAATTGTTAGGCATAATTAAAATGAATTCAAGATGACACTGATAAAGTTATAATAGATGGAGCTTACCTGAATGGTCTGCCTCGTCCGCCGCCTCCTCTCCTAGGTCTGAAGGGCCGTCCTCCTCGCGAGCGGTTATCTCTCCACTCGTGTTGGAACCGTCGTCCGTCGTCCCTGCGGAAGTCCCCGCGTCCCCTGCCACGGTTCCCGCCACCGTTGTAAGTGTGGAAGCGCGGACGGTAGTAGGTGCCACGCTCGAAACCGCCGCGTCCGCGCCAATTACCACGGCGATTCATGCGTCGATTTCTGAAAATAATATTTGAAATTTAATCTCTATTTTCCTTAGTTGAAAGTTATTATTATTAACTAGCTGCGCCCCGCGGTGTTATCCGCGGATTTTCAATATTTCCGGGATGTAAAGTAGCCTATGTGTTATTCCTGGACGTCAGCTTCCTGTATACAAAATTTTATCAAAATCGGTTCAACCGTTTGAGCGTGAAGAAGTAACAAACATACACACACACTCACAAACTTTCGCAATTATAATATTAGTAGGATATAGAGCGTTTATTACCTGTCGCGTGATCCCGATCGAGATCGTGATCTGCTTCGTGAGTAGGAATCAGATCTGGAGCGATATCTTGGAGACACAGTGCGACTGCGGCGAGACGCCACCGAGCCACTCGCGCTGGAACCGGAACGAGAACGGGATCCGGAACGGGAACGATACTTCCGTGGCATGGAACTGTAACATTATTACAATTTAAATAAAACTATGTTATATGTATATGGACGTGCCACGAAAATTCTTTATCACGTGATGGTAATAGTAATCACAGATGGACTTCAAAAAATGCACATGGGAAACTCCAAATCAATTTTTATCTAAAACTGTACTTGCGAAGGTCTTAGGATTTACTAGTTATTATAAAATAATATATTCATCTAATAAAACTATATTTTACCGGCTTCTAGATCGTTTGGCTGAACGTCTATCGTCAGAGGAGTTGGATGATCTTCTCCTAGGTGATGGAGGTGAGCGAGGTCTCCGTTGTGAGGGTGTGGGCGGCTTGATGCGGGTCACGAACTGTTCCGGTCGGCCGTCCCCTACAGACACCGGTGTCTCACCTTCTTGAGCCAATCGGAATGATCCAAACTTGTCCAGCACTATATTACCTTTACGCACCGGCTACAAATTATAGAAAAGTTGTATTATTATTCTGTTCTTCATTGACATAATAGTTTTACAGCTATAGACCACCACGTAACAATCAATTGTAATTAATATCGCATTAAGGACACGATTCTAAAAATGGACAAATTTTTATAACCTTCTGTAGCTTACTGAAAAGAAGCAAGGAACATTACTCATTATCCTTTAAGATTTAAAAAATGACAGGACGGAAAACTTTACTACTATAATAGTAAATTACTATTTAGTAAAACCATTTTTGGTTGCAAGATTGCATACAAATTATAAAAGTATTTAAATTAATATTTACGGGTGCGTGTGGAGGGTGTTGATGTGGGTGCGGGTGCGTGTGTGGGTGTTGATGTGAGTGCGGCGGGTCGGTGCCGGGCGGGTCTGGCTCGCGGCTGCTCTTGGGAGGCGGGGCTGAAGGCAACGGCGGCGGCTCCTTCATAGACATGGCCATCGCGCGACGAACAGACACGTTCTTGTCGCCGCTCGATGGTGACGGCTATATATTAGTTCAAAATTAAATATAGCATTTATATATAAATACTAGAAGACCCGGCGAACTTCGTATCGCCCTATAATCAAGAAATATCTGTTACGTTTCTTTTATAAAAACATTTAGATTATACCTTCACCTCAGAAACACGTAGTGGTTATGCTATTATTAAATAGTCGCTTATATATGACGTTTGTATTTTTAACATGGCGCCATCTATTGAATACTTACTTAACTTAGTCAACAGGTAATTATAATAATGACAATAATTTTCTTTAATAGACAAATAATTTGCAATAAAATAATATTTTATTATAAATTGAGATGTAAGCTATCCTATCTTTCAAGTTGGATCAAAATGCACACGGAATGCAAATCAAATTTAAAATCGGTTTAGTAGTTTAGGAGTCCATCGCGGACAAACACGTGATACGAAATTTTTATATATATAAAGATATGAGGAGTACATTTAACATCAACTATTTATTAAATTAAAAATTTCCTTCAGACCGATCCGTTAATAAATAATTATTAATTACCTTGCGAGGATCTTGGGAGTCATCAGAGCTATCTTCAAATGCATAACGCTCCTTATATCCTTTTTGTACTGGAGTATCCTTCTTCTTGACCCTGGTATTAAATTAACATTAACTACATATCAATATACTGCAATATATCTTGTAACAGACTAAATTGATTGAGATAACTTCTATATATATTTTATGGATTACTATGTTATGTATAATAGATTCTCAATCACCGCAATTTTATTAACTCTTGGAAAAAAATATTTGGTAAGTTTTTGGTATTGGCTTTCTATCAGTGGCGGCTGTACCTTAAGTGCACTCGTGCGCTGAACCACCAATTCAAAAAAATTAAAAATTACAAAACATTACTTCATCTTTATTTTTAAATCACCATTTTAATATTTATTTTTTAAACATACAAAAACGTATAAAAAATAAAATTTCTAATTATAGTCAAAAAGTTTGAGCGCTTTACTAAACTAATATCTCGTGCGCTTCGGCGAGTGCACGAGGAATGCTAATACATCTTGTATGAGATACGCATTAATACGCCTGACGCGTGAAACAAAAGATAGTTCATAGAAATGTACCGAGTAATGAGTCGGTTCTCGAGCGCCGCACGAGCGGCCGAAGATTACCGAGAGCACCCGATGTATGACGAATTGGAATTGAAAAGAATCAAAACTTTTCTCCGAAATACCTTGCACTTGCTAAATGCACTTTCTGTGCTTAGTATTGAAAAAAATATATACATATACAGGGTGACTGGTGAATTACTATCGATATTTGAGGACGTGATATTTGACGATCATATATGACGAAATAAAAATTAATATAACATAAATATTAATAAACTTCTAGGTAAAGTTAACCAAAAGTTATGTAATTAATTACGCATCGTATGAACATCCTACAGATTAGGTATACACACACACTCACACAGACGCAGCGGCGGCGTAGTGTTGTATCAGCACGCCGCCGCACGCGTCCACACTTGGAACACTTGGAACGTGTACACACTTTATTTATTTATACGGAAATTTGGTCAAAAATTAAGTACCTATTTTTTTTACATAATTCGAATGAGAATCATGTACCGAGTATGCTCCTTAAATATTGATAGTAATTCACCAGTCACCCTGTATACAAACAATACCAGATTTGAATAAATAGGTGATTGAACATTTCGCTTCGGAAAAATGTCGTTGCATTAATTAATGTATAAAATATAAACATATTTTATGTCAATTGGTTTTTTGTTGCATTTTCTAATTTTAATATTTTAGTAAAGTGCACCACCAGTTCGATAACCCACTAGCCGCCACTGCTTTCTATGTAAACAGGTTTTCTTTAAAGATTTATTTATTTATTAAGAATATTTATACTAACGTTTCTTTGACAGCGTTCATTGACATTTTCCACTTGGGCTTGTCAAGCGGCGGCGGGGGCACCTGGTCGAGCGGACTGAGAGATCTGTCTCGTTTACCGATTTCCTTTTCAACCATCACATGGTACGCACTCAGTTTAGATTCAAGCTCTTCCAATCCATGCATTTCATCAAGTATGCGACTGTAAAATATAGAATATATTATTATATTTACTTGGAAATAGGTTTATGCAAGGAAACTTTGGTATATAATATGGATTAAATGTTTTATATAATGAGATCTAAGATTTTCCCGAGTACTCACTTAAATGAAACTAATATTTTCGGATTTTACTTCGTGTTTTTATTTTTGATTACAAACTACATACTCCCGACGTTTCGGCTACTTTTCAGCAACCGTGATCACGTAGTAAAATCCGAAAATATTTGTTTCATTTAAATGTTTTATATATGTCAATATATAAAAAATCACCTCTTTTCATTGTGTTTCCTTTCATATTCACCATCTGAACTGTGATCCCTCTTCGATTTTCCTTTCAATTCTTTCCTGTAATGCATTGATTAATATTATTTCAGTTTATGATAAGAATTATTTCTTAAACTAGAAAAAACTATAAATTTACCTTATAGCATCTCTTAGTTTTTTATCACCAATATTTTCTATATCACGCAGATTATAATCCGAACTGTTTGACATACGAGCAATCTTATTTTTTCGTTTTTCTTCTCTCTCCTGTTCTTTGCGTTTGCGTTTTGATTCCTTCTTCTTTTTCCTGTTAAAAAAATCAAAGTACGTATAAAGTAGTTATAACTAATTGTCCAACAGATATAATATGTATCTAAGCGCACGGTAGTGCGCCGGCCAAGTTCCACAGGCCGGCGCATGCCGTGCACTATATTTACACGAACCGTTTCGACCCACTTTTGACCCCCCTGTAGCTCAGTGCCTATTGCAAGTACAGAGATAAAATTTTACCTACGTAATCATATACTGGTACTAAAGCAGTATGCCAAATTTCATAGATAAAGCTTCAGTAGATCCTGAAATATGACCCTGTGAAAATAGCTAATTTTGGCACTGACTCACTGACAGGTAATCAAAACCTCTAGGCCACTTCCCATTGTTTTAGCATTATGAAATTTGGTACACAGGTTGTGTGTTATATGTAGATTAACAAAAAATTAAGAAATTTAAGAAATCGGTCAAGCGTGAGTTGCCTCAATTCTAAATATCGAATTTTTAATAAATTCGACCCACTTTTGACCCCCTGTAGCTCAGTGTCTATTGCAAGTACAGAGATAAAATTGTACCTACGTAATCATATACTAGTCTTAAAGCAGTATGCCAAATTTCATAGATAAAGCTTCAGTAGATCCTGAAATATGACCCTGTGAAAATAGCTAATTTTGGCACTGACTCACTGACAGGTAATCAAAACCATTATATAGGCGCTCAGCTCAGCACAATAAAATACATAATAATGAAATATAAATAATTTATAATATGAGTACATCTATCAATCGGTGATAAATGAAACTAAAAAATAAAAAATAAATATATTTAAAAAAAAAACTAAAAAACCACGCTCCAATGATGAAAGAAACCGCGTGGAAACTAATTTAACCTTTACAACCTTGGAAATCAATTTAATTTAAATTGTTTAAAATAAACAATAAATGGTATTATTGAAAAAAAAGCGTGGGGCGCTTCTCAAGAAGTGATATGTGAAGCTCCCCACGCTTTTTTTTACAAAAATACCATTTATTGTTTGTTAATTTATTTTTAAATTAATATTATTGTGAAAAAAGTGTGGGGCGCTTCTTAAGAACTGATATACATATATATAAGGGATATAAAATATTGTCATCTATACATAATGCACACTGTATAACTTAATTAAATATTGCTTACCTAAAAAATCAGGTTTCTATTGTTATAAATTACTTTCGATAGATGGCGCTAGCGGTATAATTGAATCGCGATATTGTTTTGTCTGCAGTATATATGAATGAAAGTCGATAAGGAATCGATGGTCATTTCTTTCTATTTCTTTCTACACTTATGTCTTGATATCTTATATATGGTTACGATTACGATTAAATGGATCACTGATTTGACTTGCTAAAGGATTAATTTTGATATTGCTTATTGATTAATTACTTGTGTGTGTTAAAAGCACAAATTCACTCTATTTCTTTTCTACTATTCATTTACCAACGATGGAAATTGTACATCTTTCGGTGGTTGGCGGAGATATACCACATAGGGTAATTCCTATGCCATCAGATGGTAGCTGTATGTTTCATGCTGTAAGTTATGCATTGTACGGCTGTATAGTACGATTGTATGTACGATTTCTTGAAAAAAAGTATTGAAATCTCACCAAAAACATGCCTGTTAAAAAGGGGGCCAAGTTCCAATCGGCTAATTGTTTGCCTAAAAAAGGGGTGAAATCCAATCTAATGCCAAGTTTAGATGCACTTTGAAATCGATCATAATCATCTTCATCAACAGCATGATCCACTGGTAAACATTTGCCATTCCCAAGACTCGCCACCACACCCAGTCCTCTGCCTTCCACATCCAGCCACTACCCGCCACCTTATTCACGTCAACGGTCCAACTGGCCGAAATTCACTTTACCATACACCCAACTTAAAATATGGTATAGTTGTGAAAATACGTAGGTGCTTGGTTAAAAATATCTAAAATTATAATACTTCTAAATTTGAACTTGGCAGGTTAATTTAATTATTTAAATTATATAATATTTAAATTATATAAATATAAATAATTATATAAATAATAAATTAATGATACAATTAATTAAGTGTTACGTACAGCACGAAAACCTGCCAAGTTCAAATTTAGAAGTATTATAATTTTAGATATTTTTAACCAAGCACCTACGTATTTTCACAACTATACCATATTTTAAGTTGGGTGTATGGTAAAGTGAATTTCGGCCAGTTGGACCGTTGACGTGAATAAGGTGGCGGGTAGTGGCTGGATGTGGAAGGCAGAGGACTGGGTGTGGTGGCGAGTCTTGGGAATGGCAAATGTTTACCAGTGGATCATGCTGTTGATGAAGATGATTATGATCGATTTCAAAGTGCATCTAAACTTGGCATTAGATTGGATTTCACCCCTTTTTTAGGCAAACAATTAGCCGATTGGAACTTGGCCCCCTTTTTAACAGGCATGTTTTTGGTGAGATATATTATACTTAATACATATTGTTATATACTAACTTATCCTTCTTTCGTTTCTTCTTCTTGTCATGTTCAGCGCCCGGTTGTGTCTGCTGACCGAGCTCTTGCATTTTTCTATTCCGTTTATATTGCGCCGTCTCTTCCAAGAAGTTCCGAACCTTCTCTTCATAATCAGAATCTTCTTTCGTCATATCCAGGAACTTTCGTACCTTTAAAAGATAAATCTCGATTAATTAAGCTTTTAATTTACCCGAATGCTAACATTTTTTTCATTATAATTTAAGAACGGAAATTAAAAAATTTATATAGCTGTAAATAGCGTTGCCAGGTCGCCAAACCTAATAGCCGGACAGACCGACCAGTTTGGCCGGACATTTGGTTAAAAAAGCCGGACACTCTATATTATTGAGGATTTTGTCTTAGTATTAATAGGTATGTCAGTTTTTTTAATGTAAAATCAAGTCTTTTTGATTATTATCATAAATCTTGTTAATTTCTAGTAAAATAATAAATAAAATCGAGTGCCCATTTGTCTTAGATAGGTACTTTATTATTAATCAGTCAAATAATCATCAGTCAAAATTAAAATCTAGATACTTAAACATTCATCAACATGTTTGATTTTTTCTTAAATAATAAGAAAAACACAAATAAGTAAAGTAAGAAAAACACAAGTTAGTTATAAGTTCTCATGTAAATGACGTTGTCGTAATGAGAATAAAGTTCTTTAAACTAAAAAATAAATATACTTTTTTAATTAAAAAATATCAATAACTTCTCTTTAAGTTAAAGTATAAAACAAAAAAAAACGTTTTCTCTTTGAGTTACACAATAAAAATAATTATTTATATTCTTGGTTAGTCGAAACCTGCTGTAATTAGATTAAAAAGAGAGATCAACATGTAATCTGTTGTTTTCTTTCGTCCATTGCTGACCTATCAAGGAAAAAACTCTTTCAACGTTTGCGTTATGTCCTGGGATAGCAAAGTAATACATACTGACAAATAGTTAGGAATTCTGAAAAGCAATCTTGACTTATCATCGATTTAAAATAGGCTACCCATTTCTTATGTGCTAATAGCTTCTTGAAATCAACGTTCTCTTTGTTAGTATTCAAAAAACTTTTAAGATTTTGCAGTTGGTCAAAACATTTGCTATCGTCGATTTTAACATTGTTTTGCGATAGGATACTTATAGTATCGGAAACTTGATTCTATCCTACTAATACAGCCACGGGCAAAAGTATTAGGCACCCTACAGTAAGACAAGTTTTAGGGTGTTTTAGCATAGCGAGTGTAAATAAAACTGCATTTATGATTACAATGGTTTATTGTAAGAAAATAATTAATATTTTGTAGGTCCACCTTTTGATTAAATAACCGCAGCCACTCTTTTTGGCATTGACTCTACCAGCCTGAAACATTCTTCTCTTGATATATTTTTCCATTCCTGCTGTAACGCGGCCAATAGAGCTTGTTTATTGCTAATCGAGTGCCTGCGGATATTTTTCTTTAAAATGGACCAAATATGCTCAATCGGGTTGAGGTCTGGTGATTGTGGTGGCCAGTCCAAAAGATCAATATGATTTTCAGCAAACTACTTCATGGTATGCGCGGACTTGTGGCAAGTGGCGTTGTCTTGCTGAAATTTCAGGCCATCGGTGTTTGTATCACCGAAAATTTGCGTTGTCGACGATGCTAGTGCTGTTTCCAGAACTTCAGTGTATTTAACACTATTCATTCGTCCCTCACACAACACCATTTCGCCCGCTCCGGCGGCAGCCATGCAGGCCCAGATCATTATTGAGCCTCCACCATGCTTAACAGTGGGAACCACACATTCTGGGTTGTATTCTTCGCCAACCCTTCGCCTAACATAAGTCACACCGGGTGTTCCAAACACCTATGCCAAACGAAAAAAACCCATTTATTTTCAAAGTTATTATTTTTCTTGCAGTACGTTATTTTTAAAACATTTATGTGTTTTAATATTGTACATAAAATAAATAACAATACCTCAAAGTTAGATTCGTCTGACCACAGTATGTTGGACCAATCTTCCACTGACCAATCTCTATATTTGAGTGCCCACTCCAACCGATTTTTCTTATTGTGTTCTGACAGCCACGGCTTCTTCCTTGCTTTACATCCTTTTAATCCAGCTGTAAGAAGTCTTCTTCTCACAGTATAAACACTCATTGAGCTGCCTTTTGCCTCAGATATTGCTGCAGCGAGCTCTAAAGCAGTTTTTTTCCTGTTTTGTAGAGACTGCCTAATCAACAATCGATCTTCCCGTTCAGTAGTAACTTTTCTTCTGCCTGTTCTTGGTCTATTTTCAAGGGTGCCAGTCTCTTTGAAGCGATTTATAGCATATTGAACTGCACATCGCGAGCACTTCACTTCTCGGGCTATTTTAACCTGAGACATGCCTTGTTCATGTAAAATCTTAATTCTTAGACGCTGTTCAGCACTAAGTTCAGATTTTTTCGGCATGATTAACACTTTAAATGTTAGTCTTTAGAACTGTGATAGGAATAGTTGCGTAGAAGACGTGTATGTTCACTGCAAGCACTGATAACACACTATATCCCGAAACGCAAAAAAAGCAAATTCGAAGAAACACCGCTTAGGAGCACACCTGGATGTCATAAATATTTTCTTTTATCTTAATTTGGTTAAAAATTGCCGCTAATACAATAGCTAAACCATAAAACACACACTTGACCGCTATCTAATGAGATAGTGACTAACAATAGGGGTGCCTAATACTTTTGCACGCAGCTGTATTATAATTGCGAAAGTTTGTCAGTGTGTGTGTATGTTTGTTACTTCTTCACGCCCAAACGGCTGAACCGATCTTGATAAAATTTTGTATACAGGAAGCTGACGTCTAGGAATAACATATAGGCTACTTTACATCCCGGAAATCTCGAAAATCCGTGGGTAACACCGCGGGGCTCAGCTAGTACTTTATAATTAAAGAACATGAGAGTATGCGTTACCTTTAATTCATAATCAATATCCGCCTGAGACCTGCCAGGCGCGGCGGGTTCCTCTGCGGGCGGCGGCGGCTGATAGCCGTAGGGATGATTGAACTGTGAGTTGTGTGTACGTGACGCCGACTCAGCGTCTCCCAACATAGCCATACGCTTGCTCAGAGGCGACAGCGACCTCTGCCGCTTGTTGTTAGACTGCGAGCGACGTTTCTTCTTCCTATTTGGACCCTCTGAACCTGAAATGTGCTATTCTGTATCGAGGATTTTGAAACTAACTCGTATATAAATTTTTAAGAGACTGAAAAATAGGACTTTACATATAGGAACGCATATAATCGTAATATGTATGTAATAGGTCTAACTGTTTTGCATCCAATTGCAATAAGGTGTTTTCAAGTTATTAGCAATCCTTAACAATTAATGGATTTCAATTTTAAATTTATTATAGATCTAATAGATATAACACCCATAGGCAGACCCTGGCTAAAGCTGGGAAATTGCCAGGAAGAAGAAGACATATAACACTATACACTTATTGGGTCAGCCCTCACCACTTGATTCCGTTGATGAAGATGATGACTCTGATGAAGAGCTTGAGCTCGATGAGTCACTCGAAGACGATGAGGAACTACTGGATCGTTTCTTTTTTCCTTTCCCACGCTTCTTCTTCTTCTTCTTTTCCTTCTTCTCCGTAAGATTCAACAACTGCTTCAGTGTTTCCTTCATCTCAAACGACTTAGCCCCAGTCAATCCAGGCAGAAGTAACTCGGCCGGCTCTATCAACGGCTTGGTGGTAGACGTCTTACTCTTCAGAAAGTCCAATGAATTCTGAGCCTCCTCATGGAATGGTATAATCGCCAAACAATCTTCGTAAGCTTTCTGGGCTTCAGCTATTTTGTTCTCATCTTCATAGCTACGGCCGAGAGCGACTAGAGTTTCTCCCAAATATTTGCGTGCATTTGCATGGTTAGGGTTAAGTTTTAGAGAAGTTTCAAAGTCTTCTATGGCTTTCTTGAATGTCCCACTATTGGCATAGAGAGCACCTCTCGCAACAAGTCCTTCCACGTTTCGGGGATCAATGCTGAGTGCTTTATTGAGACATTGAAATGCTTCTGAATGCCTTCCTGCTTTAAAGTGCTCAATTCCTTCAGCTACTGACCGGAACGCCCACTTGCTTGCTTGAGCTTGACGGAGTTCATCAGCATATTCTGTAGTTGGAAATCCTCCCCTAAAGTGAAGATATGATAAGTAATTACAAAACTGTATTAACTTATAAAATAATAGACACATTAACAGTCTACTTGCTAAATGAATTACATAAAATGATAATACATACCTTAATGTTGAAAAGTTGCTGCAGTGCATATTTGATATGCCAAGAAGTTCTGAGAGGTATTGGACGCAGTTAGGATTATTGAATCCTGGGCTCTTCTCCAAAATAGCTTCATAACTCTCTCCCTTCATTTCCATAGTTTTCCTGTTAAAAATTAATAAATAAATTTCAAGAACATCTAAGAAGATTGCCTCATTGCCTTCATTTTTGATGCGAGTCATTCCACAATTACTGACTGAAAAGGTTCATTATTTGTATATATATACATAGCAAGAATAGATTCCTAATGTCAGTCATAATTTCACACATACTTATCCTCACCTGTTCCATTGGAGCTGTTCAAAAAATGTTATTTAACTTGTATTTTTATTTCTTTCACACATAAACAGAACATCATAGATTAGGTGATGCTGCTTCGACAATGTGACAATATTACCAGAATGTCTCAGCTACAGTCACAACATAATGTAGGTGACGCAAACAAGTCTTTACACCTAGAAAAAAAAACACCCTAAAATAATTGAACAGCTGTTCCCCGTGTCGCCTGCATAAGCCCTGTCCAGTACTAAACAAGTGAACCGCTGCCACTCGTCAAACTATTGTATCGTCTTTGGGAGCCTCACATCAGCTAAACTTATCAAGGCCAGTGGCTAGTCCATTTTTAATAAATAAATAACGCCAACATCCAATAAATGCTGATTACATTAAAGTCCAATCAAGTGTTTTGTTATAATGCTGCAATATTAAATATAAGTTTTAATACAGAATTACAATGCTCTGTCCAGAGACACCAGTCAACCTATTTCTAGTACTGACCTTTTCCTTTTAATTAAGTATAAATGATTCTGACAAACAAAATCAATAGTTCTTCAAAATTGTAAAGATGCATCCAAATATTGGCTATGGATTATATCCATGTATATCCAATTTTATTCTTTCTCAAGTATGAAACATAATTATTGTGCAATCAATCAATATATTGGTGTTTGTATTATCTGTACTGAAAAGTGACCATAAAACAGTGAAAACATTTATCCACAGAGGGTTCTTGCATCTCCCTAACAATTGCATGATAACATTGAAAAATAAAACAGTGAACAAACCACTCTCATCACAAAAATATATGTTTCTGTACACACAAAATTTATCCATTGCAATAAAAACATTGTTGGAGATCCTCAACTCTCTAGATGTTATTTCATATTCTTCATTATAGTTTATAATTCATTCTCGTCGGATCAATACACTGTATTCTTATATCTTTTCTTCATGGTATTTTTCTTGAATCCCCACAGGTCCACAGTTAAAAAAAATATGATAAAGCAACATTTGTGACATAAAAGTGTTTCACAAATCTGTAAGTGTTGGAAAACTGTGATAATGATGTGTTCGATGGGAATGGATACATACTTGTATATCAAAGGAAAGTCGTCAGTGCTGAGGAGGCCTAGCGGAGGCTTCGGTGGAGGGTCTTCAGGCTTCCGAGTAACACCCTTCATGCCGCACACCATTTTGTCAGTGTCGGGAATAACTTCAATTACTTCACAGCACACAGTATCATTCATCAGGTAGTTTCTCGATACATTTTTCTTGTCCACCGCTGGTATGATATTAGCAACAGGTAAGAATGCCTAGAAAAATCATGACAAGTATGAGAAACACAATTTTAAAAACTAGTTATAGAGCAATTTTAAATACTATAGAAATAATGGACACAAATTTTACTGGTCTGATCTATGAATATGCTATTGACATGAATTTTTAAAAGCCCGTGACTAGTTAAGATAGTTATAGTATAAAAGAACAAAGGTCAAACCTTAACATTGATGTCAGCAACATATCTAGAAGTAGGTCCGGCAGTACATAGCACCTTAAGCATCATCCCTGAAGCAGTTCTGTTGATAACAGCACCTATTATCAGCTCCCCAGTTTTCACATTCTACACAAAAATTAATAGTAAATAAACCATAACAGATTAATATTTATATGTCATAATAATTTTTACTTACATCAAAAAAATGTCTCAGCCTGGCTGATTTGTCAACATGTAAAAATGTTTCAAATGGCGGCATCAGTGCAAATAGATCTAAAACAAACAAAAAAATAAACATATGTAAAAATAACTTAACTTTTTAGTATTTTATTTTACTAACTTGACATGAATATCACTTTTTAATATAACTGTTTTAAATTAAGACTATGACTAATAAAAAACCAGATAAAAAGTGTAGGCGATTAGAAAGTATTACCATAAAAGTAAAGTGTGTAGGCTTAAGTGGAGTTAATGTAACAAATAACATTTTCATATATTAAAGGTGTTCATAATGTTTATTTAATTTTTGTACATACTGTCTTCTGGTGTAGGAGCTTCAGCGCTAACGCTGGATGATGACGGAGTTTCATCCAGTAGAGATGCATCGAATAATGCTGATGCTTCCTTCGCGATGAACTGATGTAATTTGAGTCTCTTCCCTCTGTCTTGGAAAGTCAAATGCTTGTGCCTGGACTGGTAAACAGCAAAGTCTAAAGGCCCCACACCAATCTTGGATAAATCATCTTCACCTCGTTCGGCCTCCCACGTTTTTTGTAGCTGCTGTCCATGATAATTTATGGACTGCGCGACCAAAGACGCATCCAAAGTTGGTTCCATAGTTAGTTACTAAAATAAAAATTTTATATATTAAGACAAATTAAAATAAATAGACATACTTCATAATATTATCTATCTTCCATCTTCAATATGTACATGAGAAGTAGACAGGGTGATATCTAATTTTTTGGACTTATCCGCCATTTTGGAACATCCCATGAATCTATTGATAAGACAATTTCGAACACAAATCAAGTAATAGTTACCTGAACACCAGTATATCTTGGATATTCGTTGTCTTTAACAACGAAATTATATATATTTAACACCTTAAAATATATTTTTTTACTGAACTCATATTATTCCGCAATTATGGCAAATGGCGATTAACTCGCTCAACTTCCAAACTGAGAATAGACTTATGTTGCCAGGTTATTTTAAAATCGAAGAAAAATGTGTTGCTATATAATGTCCTTATAGAAATTAGTAACTAATGATTCATATATGTATTTTGTAAATATTTTTAGAAATAAAATCTAGAATTAGATTAGCTATTTAGTTGGTAACTTAGATTTTATAGTTTACGAAATTATAAATAGTCTCTAATTGAATATATTCTCAATAAAATAAAACAGAACCGAATTAAACCGTTAGTACTGTTGATGGTTTTAAATTTTAAAGTAATAAAACATGAATTTTAATTAAAATTATTAGTTATAATAAACATTAAATATTATAAATATTGGATGTAGAATAAAAATTCAATTTCTAGGTAAATTTAATTACTTTATGTTATAGTCTTCGTTTAATAATTAAATATCGGGTTTATTACTTTTTTCGTTGTGTATATTTTTATTGTATGCAATAACAACACCGTCGTGAAGAAGAATGTTGTTTTACTCTACCTAAGTACCTTTTTGACATCTCCCAGTTTAATTTTGATTTTATAACGGTTTAGATATATTAAGATTATTGAAATGTGTCTTTACGAGCTAGTTGAGTAGGTACCTATTGGGAATAATGTGAAATATTTTTTACACAAAGAAAGGTCTCTAGTATGTAGGAGCAGATAAGAACAAAAAACCTTTTAGGAAATCTACTGAAAGATCAATTTATATTTATATAAAATATTTCGTTTATATAAATACATATAGAAAAAGATAATAAATCTGGGAAAGATTGGGCATAGATGTCAAATGTACTTCTTCCCAATATTTACATTAGATAATGAATTTTTTCTGAGGAAACATGTTGTCGACAAAACTATTTGTTTATTTAAAAATTACATATTAACTGTCTTAACTGTTTTTACCTTACTCCTGAATCTACGGTTAAACAAATTAATTTCTTAAACCTTTTGAACAGATCTTTTTGTAACATTTACATTTTCATGTTATGGAATAATAAAATTTTATAATTTCCTTAAACGTAAAATTTTTTTCCTTTATCGCTTTTCAATTCGATAACCAATCCTAGTTTTTTTTAAATTATATCATTATTGAATGGCATGAAGGCATCTGAAAATGAAAATAAAAAAAGTCGAGCAATATAAATCTATCTCTGTTTCCATTATTGATTATGAAAAATTTACCTTTATGTGAGCGTAATTATAACTTAAATAATAACTGTATGACCTTTAGATCTTTATTACCAGCATAATGTGAAATTCTATTCAATATATACGTAAAAAAATGTAAATATTTCTTTTTAGTTATAAGCATAGACTTTGAAAGGGTATTGATAAATGGGAATACATATCTAAAAATATAATCGCTAAAGTAATATTTTAGAATTATGTGGAAGCACGTAAGTATATATCTTGCATACTTCAAAGCGACCATAAAGCGTTATTGGGAAGGTCTCACTTCAATAGAAGAGGCGAATACAAAAGGCGAAAAGAGGGCTAGGTAATGGCAGACACAATAGAAATACTGTTTGGACTGGAAGGCGGTCCGTACAATGGTGGACCGCGAAACTTATTTTATTCTTCAACACTTATTTATTTTCACTGCCTAGCTAGCTAACGATTTCTTTTCAACTTTTCTTTTGATTGTATCAAGATGTAGGTTGTAAGGGAAATAGGAGATATATATGTACATAACTAGTTATTTTATCTCAATGAGAGTTTTATAAACGTTTTCGATCAATAATATCTACCAATAAAAAATGAAAGGTTCATTTTATTCAACAACAGATTCAAGAACTCTAATAGCTCGTGGAGTTTTAAAACCGTTCTCTTTGAATATTATTTGAATGATGACAATAGTACTTGTTATTATGTCTCAACTATGACATAAATTGATCTTTTCATTGTCGTTTAAATAATAGGAACTTAAGAACGTTTTCTGTTAAAGAAATGATTCCATCGTGACTATCCATAAAACAAGAACATCAGAACTAATTTTAAATTATGTTTTTAAGTAAAATTGCTGTATTAACGAACTTATGTTATGTGATTTATAATATATGTGATTCATTATATATATTCATAGAAAAATATTGATTGATCACTCATTATAACGTCCGAATTATGCAGTCTACGTCATTATTATTTGTATCCAGATAATTTGATAAAATAGTCCAAACAAATGATTTTCTCGCAACTTTATAAAACAGTTAATTGCTTGTCATTTTTTATTGAATACAAGAGTAAATTGGTTATGTTTGTGTATGCAAGGTGTATTGTGTTGGTTGACACAATGCGCTGCTTTTGTGAGGCATTCGCTCCATTGTTATTGGACATATTACCCAACGTTTCACATTATATCTGCTTCTGCTGTCTTTGGCTTCCTTTGATGAGAAATTTATCTAATTGTTATCATGTTTGATATTTTACATGAAATTCCTATAACCAATAAGAATATAAATACATAGTATTAATTCTAATTTTTTTTCAACCAAGAATAAGTTAAGAAAAAGAATATTTCTTCCTTAATTGCTTTTTATTGTGTTAAATTTTATATATAGCTAAATGATAATAAAATTTTGAATATATCATGTTTCGAAATTTGAAATTATCGATGTGAATATTATTTGTTGTTAAAAATGCAATTTGATAATTGCATTATTGCGCAAAAGTTCATATAGGGTGGATACAGAATAACGGATAGTTAAAGCCGAAGGCATGTATTGTGCGCAAGGATTCGGCGCGGGAAAGCAATGCACGTCACTCGCAAGCCGGTTCTCGCAGTTTGTTCTAGTATACCACACAAGGCGTTCGTTTGGCTGTATACTGTTCAACCAGGTCCGATCGAACTTTTTCGCCGACAAGACTTTCCCGCCAAACGTTGTTTATTTTTTTTAATTTAATGTGGCTGTGATTTTTCTGTGCCAGGATTATTTTACGTGATGCGCTGTTGTGTATAAAGTGATTGTGATTACCGAATGGAATGTGGAAACTGATTACATGAAAATATAAGGTAAGATTTTCACAATCTTGTTAGAATATTATAAGATTTAAAATTTTTAAATAGATATTTAAGTTTTATTCTCATTTATTATTTGTACAGTAGACATAAAGTGGAAAGTCTGTTCAATTTATAATGTTTAATACAGAAAAATTAAAAGGGTGAGAAATATAATTATGTTTAAATGTATTTTTATATTTTTAGGAATTTTAAGACTTATTGTCGCTTTTGAGCAGGAGTCACACATTTATCGATGAATTAACTTAAATTATAACTTACTGCTTTTACATTATAATTTTTTTGCACTTTTGTTTTAAATATTTATAAAAAATAATAATTAAAAATATTTTTAAAACATCACATTTACATAAATATAAAACCTTTAAAAAATAGTAATACTGGTTTCTATTTAAAATTTAAACTCACTAAATATTTGTAAAAAAAACTCAAAAAAATACTGAATGCGTATCAGAAATAAAAAGTATGAACTAAAAATATAATTTCACGTATAACATAAAACTATAGCATTACAATAAAATCAGTTCATACACAAATGAATGGCGCCAACAGTAGCGAAACAAAAGCCAATCGCGATCAAATCGATTGATGCGATAAACTTGCAAACAACGAAATAATGGTAGAGTCGGGGAATTAACGCTTCTATTGTGTTAGTACAATAATCTGCTATCTAGGCCAGCCTCAGTGCTGCAGACGAACCTTTTGTCTTTCATGTTCGCCGTTAATAATGGCGGGCACCGAAACAGCCGCGCACAATACCGCGAAATGTGCGCGTTTTCATTTGCAAGACAAAACGTGCTTTGTTGTGTGTCCGCTCAATACAGAATTTATAGCGGGTGGACCGCATTGACGGCTCGCTAACGAACGACCAAACGCCATAAATGCATTTTGATCGGGACTCTGTTCATAATCGATGCCGCTGACCTGTTCGCGACTAGTTCGTTACACGACGATTTAACACTCGCACGGCTCATGTTAGGCTGGACGTGGAAACTCTTTACCATGTTGCGTGGTACCTGAAAAAAAAACTTGTGGCCATGAACAAATTATCTTATTAGACTATTCTTTACACAAACTATAATGTAAAAGAGAAATTCGTTAATATTTACACAATATAAACATTACTACAATTTATATGAATGGTGAAAAAAAGATTCCAATAAGAAATTTTTCGTCAAAAGATACCCACAGAACGGTAAAAGATGAACATACCGAATACTTATTTAAAGAGCAAAAAGGACCGAGTCTGTTAAAGTTAATATTTTCTACTTTACTGTGTAAGAGTTTAGAAGAGCTTTCATTGCAGTCTACTTTTTTAAAAATATATTGCAAAGAAAGTTGTCCCTCTATATTTTTCATCAAAAGATTTCGATTCAAAGAAGGCGAAGGTACGGAAAGGTAACCGCAAAGATTTTGCTTTAGTCGGTTGGTCAGTCAATGGATTGGTGGAGCTTCTTAGCCTTTTAAAAAAAGATGTTAAGAACGCCTTTTTATTTAAAAAAAATAAATTTTCATTTAAATGTTCTAAATGCTTATCTCTTAAATATAATAACTCATATGTTATACATATTTTGTAGTCAGCCTGAAAAGGACTGATCCCTATAAATAAAATTAACTCAAGACTTTGAGAGGTCG